TTGCTATATTCTATGAAACTAATGTATTTTTTCAATTATTAATACACAGTGAGTGAATTGCAGCAAAGCGGTCGAAACTAAGTGTTCAAAAACATTCCCGACTTTAACATAGAAGAGCTTCGTCAATGTTCGATTAAAAAACATCAAACTTGGCTCATGATATAGACTTGTTTCTAAATGCACAATTTCAACCTCCTTATTTCTGCACAAATTAAGGTAAAAGTTGATTTTGGCAAAAAGGCCCAACATGTTCTTTCCAATTATACCCCCCCCTATATTTTCAATTCTCATTTTAGAACTTATTTTGAGAAGACGAAAAGCGCCAAGCACAAATGCAGCATACGTACAATATAAAAGCAAAATCACATTTTCCTTTCTTTATTTTACATTGTTTATTTTTAAAATTAAGATTCTTCGTCGTTAATAGGAGGCAAATTAGCAGTTGAAATAAGACTGATTACTAATTAACTCGCCTAATATACTTAAATAATATTTTCTCAATACATAATTTCCGGAGTTTCCTTCACAGTTCGGATTCAAGTCAAAGCATTTATATCAATCCGTTCTGTTTACTATGCTGCCAAGAACAAGTTTCGAAAATGATTTAATATTTTCTTTCGTCCAAACTAATACTAAAAAAATGCTTTCCGAAATTATTCTGAATATTTAAGATGTGCCCAAATGAAAAGGAGACCGTTGTTTATTAACTATTGGCGAAATTGCAACAGAAAAGGCAGTTTCATAATTCTAAAAAGGAAACCATGGCAAGGGTGTGATGCATAACAAAATTTTTTCAAAATTAATTTTTATTGACTGGTCAGCCCTAAGACATTATCGATGGTTTCAGAATAACACATCATTATTGAAAAATGTTCATTTGAGGATAAGCCAATTTGACTTCTATATTTTTTCTCTTAAATTTAGTTTCTTTGAGTTGATGGAGAGGGGTTACACGGGAGATTCATGTGTCATATGCAAGAGTATAATAGCATGATAGTTAGGTTAACTTTATCAGCGCTTTCCGTATTACTCACGAAAAAGCTCCACGATAGCACCTGTCTTACAACGCGCGCTTGAGTGCGTGATCGCTTTCGATTTTCGGACACATCCACCATTATGACAATTGAAAAGCCATCTCGAATTAAATACATCAGCATTGAAGCCGCAGCTCTACTACGAATGGAAGCATATTCGTATAGGGTTGCATGCACCCCATCTGTCTGACGTATGGTACAGAGCAAGGCTGAGAGCCGCCTCCAAAATTTCGTTCCGAAAGTAACTTCGGATGTGGACCGACTTTAATATTTTTTTTATCTAAAATGAATTAATTTTGACGTCATTTTTCAAACTAAAATATTTTTAAAAAAAGTTTCTTAATCCAAAAAGGATAAATTTAATTCAAAACTATGGCAATACTAGAAAAACTTGTTTGCCTAGTGTGTAGCCTTTTTGAGAATTTTTTCAAAATGAAAGAGGGGCTTCATGTAAAGTATCTCCAAATTTTAAAGAATGTTTTTCAAATTCTCAAAGCTTTGACTCGAGCCAGATGGACATGGGGTTTCTTCAATTTGAAAAAATCCTATGCTTGGTTTAGGCGCTAGTGGTGTTCACAGACGGACGGACGTAACAAAAAAAAAAAAAAAAAAAAAAAAAAAAAAAAAAAAAAAAAAAAAAAAAAAAAAAATCGGTATCAGGGGACCCCAAGCAGGGTATTTGCGATGAAATATCGAAATATATTTATCTACTTCTTGCAGCAATACATAACTTCCTCTACACTATTTTTATTACTCCGTATAAAGTACGTATACGGGAAAGTACGAAGTTGTCGGACACAAAGACTTGGCATATGTTTCTATTTCGACGCACTGAATCCGAATCTGGAGCCAAAATCACGACACTATACCCTCTCAGGATTGTTTTAAAGCGAAATTGTATTTTTTTTTTCTTCGGAATCGTTGTCAGACACAATGACCTGACACACGTTTCTCTATGCATGTCGATGTGCTTAATCCGAATCCGAAGTCAATTTTGCGCCATTACACTACAGTTGTTGATTTTTTTAATCGTGAAAAACTGGAAGGTGGTGGCGCGATTCGGCTTCGTATTCAGCGCATCAGCATGCATAGAGAAACATGACTCAAGTCTTGAGCCTAACTTTTGGCTTCTGCAATTCTACAAGTCACCAAAATCTAGTATTTGCATGTGCTTTTCGCGATTTAAAAACAACAAGTGAGTAGTGGTGCGACTCTGACTTCGGATTCAGTGCATAGACATGCATAGAGAAACATGTATCAAGTCTTTGGGGCTGACAACAACCACAGAGGGGGAAAAAAATCACGATAGTTTTTCGAGATTGAAAAAAAAAAAATACTAGGGTGATGGCACAATTCTAGGTTCAGATTAGGATTTAGCGCGTCGACATACACAGAGAAACATATGTCAAAGACTTTGGGTCTGGCTACCTTTTTATTTTATTTTGTGAGCCCGCGTTATCGACACTAGCTGTAAGGTTTGGCCACATTCAGCCGCTGGCACGATGAGAATTCACGCGACGGCTGCTAGGATAGGTAGTTTTCCGTAGCTTTTATCAATACCAGGTGAATGCCGGGGTAAAAACGCTGCGATCTTCCCACCATCCTTGTCCCTCCTCTCCCCATATACAAGAGCACTGCACTAACACACACGTCGGGAGCTTAGAGCCTGCGCCGGCTGGGGCTGTGCTCCGCTGAGAGAGAGGAGAGAGGGAGAGGGAGGGAGAGAGAGGGAGGGAGAGAGAGAGGGAGAGAGAGAGAGGGAGAGAGAGAGAGAGAGCTAGAGGAGAGTAAACCAGCTAGGGGACGGAGGCGTGTATGTCGGCGCGGGTTCTCACGTTTCATTTGGAATACCGCCACCTCCCGGGATATAACATGCCAATTACTAACTCTTTTTTTTTTTTTTACAGAAAGACAATTTCAGCTAGGTCTATTTCTATTTGCCAACTCGTATTATGTGGGATATTATATTTCAAAATACAAATATATTAAAATGTAATGGAATGTGTAGTAATAGATAAAATATGTAACTAAATCAAAATAAAACTTATTTTCTTTCCTTCAGAATAACATACAAAGTACAAAAGTTATTGCAGGTATTTTGTGTGAGTAAAAATATGTATTTGCAAGAAAAGCCATTCCCCACCGATAACAAATCTCTAGGAACTAAACACGTATTGCACCTTTTCAAAAAGCAAGCAAGCACTATTGCTTACTCGCAATCAACAATGAAAATACTTATATTTCAAACTGCATTTACAAAACATCAGAAAGATCTTCAAATATGATCATGATCAATTTCTCGATAAGATGAGTATTTTTGCGTAATTTTGAGACACACAGGCAATTTTTAAATTTCATACAATTATTTTATCAGAAATGGCACCAATTTTAAAATAACATGTAATGTTTTGATTTTTCTGCACTTCATGATCACGTTGCATGACATGTTTATCTACTTGAAATATTAAAATTGTGTTGTACATATGTCAATGACATAAACTGGAAATACAAACAATAAAGCCTAAGAATATAGAGTAAACTTAATCAGACTTTTACATTAAATTTCTTTCATTCACAAAAATGTTTTTTTACTGTGTAAACACAGTAGTATACATAATAATATGTAATTATCTCAAAATGTTTTCTATTATCTTTCGTTAAATAACTCAAAGATGTTATAAATCTCTAAAAATTTGAGGTAATCGACTTTAGGGAGCCCTACTTAAGCCTTGGATGTCATTTTAAAATTATTAAAACAACTGCCAACAATATTCTTGAAACATGGAACTCCCAATTCACAATCCAAAATATTTACCATGTGTTTACATGACAATAAATAAATAAATACACTTACAAATACATAACTAACAAACAAATAAAATAAAATGTTCTTATGATATATTGAATTTTCATGTTGATTTAGCACAATCACAATCAATTTTGAACAAGTATGTACTGAGAATTTTCAATAGACACTACCTTCTAGTAATTTTTTAAATATTTAGCTTGGAAAAGAATTGAAAAGGCTAGCTGTTGCTTTTGGATCTCTCTATAGGCAAGGTGACAAGTGAAACAATGAGGAGAAGGTGGTTAAGGCCATTAGAAAAATATGGTGACCAGAGTACTTCCTCCTTCTGCTGGGGTGAAAATAAATTAGTGTTATCCTCAATTCTTACAATGAGAATCATCACATATTCATTCATGCCTCATAAACTTACTAAATAATCACATGCCACACATGAGTGAAAGAAATAATACAAATGGTAGGGAAGAATTCTGAAGATTAAGTAAACCAAAATTTTATAATATAGAAGATAGACAAACATTGTAAGGATGACAGAATCTTCTAAACAAATCATTGCATTGCAAATGTCTAAAGAATGTGCTCATAATGATTAAGAAAATCCCTCATGCCAACGTATGATGTAACATTTTTATGAGCCAAAATGTTAGGAAAAATGTTCACATTCAAACCTCAGAGATTCCATCCTCTGATTTCAACACATATTTCTCTCAATGGCTGTTCCAATTAATGTGATTTTTTTTAAATGTGAAGAAATAAAAAAGAGAGCGAACACTCACTAATACCCATTTTACTGCCGAGACGTCTTTTACGGAAGTTCTACATACTCTGATTAAATCTTTTCAAATATGACAACCTTATAAACGTGCAGCACACGCCCATTCACACGCCATGCAAATGAACGAAATGTTATTAAAGCGCACACAATCCAGTAAACAGAAAATTTAAAACAGCAAATATGGGCCAATTTTCCAATGAAGAAACTTGTAAATAAGCAAAATTTACAAGTAATTCATTAGGTGGGTAATGTAGCAAGGTCATTAGTACCAACAAATGAGGACAAGAAAATTGTACAACTTTTACTTCAATACCCACAGTGAGGAGGAATGAGGCAAAACTACACTAATAAAAAATTTAAACAATCAATTAGTTTTAATACTTACAAGCACGTTCAGCGCGGAATAACCAGTATATAAAGGATGCAAAACCTTACTAAAAATTGTCAACAGCAACCCGCACGAATTTCATTGTTCACAGAATATGACACTAGCAAAAGTAACAGATGAGCAGAGCACAAACATTCAACGGAATAGCCAACGTCAACGAACACTACTTGTCATGACATTTTTAAGATTGTGATGAAATAGACGACCTTGTCAATAATACTGGTTTATATATGTGTGGGTATTATTGTGTGTGAAGATTATTAATGATTAAGAAAAATGAATAAAATTCACTGTATTTTATAAATTTCGTTGATTTTGTTATAATGTTTGCATCATTGCTTGTTTGTTTTAACAAGACAAGGGACCTGCAAGGGACCGAATCGGAATAGTACATTCTGCTCAGCAGTGCACGCCAGGTGCACGCTATAAACTGAAAGGTCAGGAGATGCAAATGTATAATGTCGTAGGTTCGTCGTTATAATATTGAAAAAAATTAAAATTATTCTACATTTATGCTGTTGCGCAATTTATTTCAGAGTGTCGCCGTTACAGAATCTCTGCCACCAGAGACGTATTCTTCAGAGGAGCTCTCGTTAACATTTATTTCCGGATATAACCGGAATGTTGCAATGTGCGCTTTTGCCATTTCTTAGTGCTTTTCAAGAACTTAACAAACCTGAATATTATAAAAAATTTTAAAAATGAACATCTGTCAAAAGATTTATTTAAGGAGAAAATCCAAACGTTACTTATATTACATCATATTTTTGGGTGTGTTTTGTGTCCTATGTTATCAAGTATACTTTTTAAAAGTTGTAACCGACGATGTAACAAGGAGCCTTGTCACATCAACTGCTAAAGTTTCCTCTGTGTTGTCTACAATAAGAGGTGTCAGACAGATTGATATGGCAAAGTATAAACCAAATAATCATGGAGCTTTTGTATGCTTTGATTCACAAGAGGAGATAGAATATAGCCGTATAAATGATGATTATTGTGATTGTGTCAGTGATGGGAGTGATGAACCTGGTACAAATGCCTGCGTGAATGGAAAATTCTATTGTGAAACTGATAGGCTAACAGGTAAGAATTAGAGACTTAGAACTATATTCATAACAAACCTTTTGAACTCCTGAATGAATCCTTTAAATGTAGTGTTACATCCCCCTATGGTGTTCTGGGGATGTGTGTAGAATACCACCTTGGGGCATGCTCTTTCAAAAGAGGTGACTAACTGGAGCTGCTGACTGCTCTACCTACCTACATATATTACTCCATATTTCATTATTTGTTCCCAAACACCCCCTTAACCCCATGCACTTACCATAACTCACTCCATGAATTTGCTTTCTGAGAAGTTTTCTCTCCATCCCTGAATCAAAATTTTTTCTCTATCACCAACAGAACTCTCCCCTGAGAGTTCCTGTGTGAACTGAGCTACCAAAACCCATCCCTCAACTCTTCCTCTCCTCTCCTCTCCTTCCTTTCACTCTCAGTAATGGCTCAACAGGCCCAGAGAAGACGTTTTTGGTAAAGCGTCGACCTGATACATATTGTACAAGCTGGAATTGGTAAGATTAGTAGACCTGGACACCCCAATTTACACTGTGCGGTGCCTGTAACATAGCCAGGGGACACTTCTTTACTACTGGCAAATTTCTAGCAATCAGAAGTGCTAATGTTGACAACAAAGATAAAGAATAGGGCTACAAATCAGGAAAGGAAAATGTGTATCATATGAAATGTGAAAGGTATATGTCACAAAGAACAGAATTAAAAAGAGCAGAAGTAGGTATCGCAATAAATTCAGAAAACAACAAAACACTAGGAGGGTCGAGAGAATTAACTGAGTATATTATGTATTGTAGTGGTGTTGATTTAGAAAAAGAGGCCTCAAGCAGGTGTAGATATACTAAAACATTAAATATTTTAAGGAACAAAATAGATTGCTACTTTTTTGTTTCAGTAAAATTAAGTATCAAATTGAAACTTTGAAGGTTCAAATGCAATATTACAGAAATTTGTGCTCCAGATGATGATGAACAAGAAAATACCATATTCATCTATGAAGATCTTCAGTTGCTATACATGAAATTCCACAAAATGAAAATCTTTTAGTAGCTGGTGATTTCAACACCAGAATTGGGACTGTCCATTTAAAGGCTTTGTAGGCCCATGCAAATAACCAGTTGTGAATATCAATAGTAAAAAGTTGAGAGATTTTGTATCATTGAATAGTTTGTAAATATACATGGAGTTCTGGAAATAGTAGACCCATCATTAACAATGTTTTAACAAATAGTAAGACTACGCCACTATTATGTAACACCAGAGTAGGAGCTATGATGTTAATTTTGACCATTTTCCTTGAAAATCAGATAAGTTACCAAAGAGATGGAACTACAAGGAAAATAAAACCAAACTAAGAAACAGTATGTCGAATACAATTCTTGCGAGATAAACGAACAAGATGGATTTTCTGAAAGAGAATGAGTGATATTTTACAGGAAAGGGTAATTAATATTTTCTGTGCTGATTTGCACCAATTAAAAGGTATTCTGAAACATCAACACACTGCATCAGGAACATCAACAAAATTCAGAAACAATTGAAAGCTGCCAATATGAAATCATTAAATATTATAAATGATATTAAAAAATAGGAATACTTGAGATATTTTAATACAAAGTTAGATGAAAACCTTACAGTATATAAATGAGAAACAACATTAGTTAAGAGAGAAACAAGAAAAGTGAAAAAATAGACTTAGAAAAAAGGTGTATAAACTTTGCACAAGATAAACAAGGACAACAAACCCAGGCTTTCAAAATATTAAAGCAGATGAAAAAAAGACTGCATAAATTAACCCCATTTCCAATGCAGGTTGGCTCAATTTTTACCAAAATCTATGGAAATCAAATGATAATGAAGAAAATATTTAAAATGCTGCTTTTGATGAAAATGTAGATTCAATAATCATGGATGATTTTGTGGAAGAATTTAAGATAGGTAAGAATAGAAAATCAACTTGGGCAAATGGAATCAATATGAACTTAATCAATTGTCAGAATTGTGATAATTAACGATGAATACAGCTGCTCAGTGCTGGATATAATGGGTTGCTAATATTTTAGTTTAAAAGACTAAGCAACATATCAGAAACATTTCTTTTAGAAGAGCAAAATGGTTGTAGACCAAATAGATTGTGCACACAGTGTTTTCTCAATTAACTAGATTGCAGAGAAACCCATGGAATGGAAAAGCTACATTTATAGCTGCACTGTTATAGACCTTTGAAAAAGCATTTAATCAGGTAAACAGAGGAAAACTAAGGGAAAATCTAGAAGAATGTGGAATTCCATAGCACTGGATTAGAGCAGTACAAACCATGAATCATAAAACATGAGTCTTGCAAACCACGGTTTGGAAAACAAGCCCTACCACTCCCACGCATGTATATATTTGAAATATTCATCTTAAAAAAAAAGACACTTATGAGAAATAAGGATTTTGTTACTCTAAACACAGAAGTTCATAAGTATGATACTGGACAAAAAAGAAATCTGCATGTCCCATACAGCGCAACGTCACTCATTCAAAAAAGTACTCTTATAGAAGATATTACATTACATAATAAACCCCCTAGTGAATTTAAAAGCTTAAACTCCATACCCGCATTCAGAAATAAACTGAAAGCTTTCCTGTTAAACCATATATTCCACAGTACAAAAGAATATATACCTCATAAACATGCATATTCATCAATATAAAATAGTACTAATAATTTATGATATTCTGTTGCATGTTTTGAAACCCCCTAAAATGTTTATTGGATATA